AGGCGACCGGGAGCTTCCGTGGGAGGGAAATGCCGGTGTCCCGCTCCCACCCCCCCGCTCGGTGATACAGCTCCTGAAAGACTTTGCGCTTCTGACTGTTCATGCACGGCGAGCGTGGTCTGATATTTACTCTTGGGCAAAATGAATCAGGAGCACAGAGACGTCAGAGATGGATTGGGACCCCTCTGTATGTAAGCTGTCTTTACTCTTTCTTTTTACGAACTTTTTTTTTTTTTTTTTAATAGGGAAAAGCCTCAGGCTTTTATTTCGAGAAACATATTTGAAATGCATTTTTCTGTAGAGCGGGTAGTATTAACATAGAGCTTCCTACAACATCACTGTTAGAATTTGTGGCTAAAGCCGGCGCTTCAGAACAACAGCAAAGCTTCATAACAGGTTGCATTCACAAGTAAAGTTCTATCCTGTTTTAAAGGGAGGCAGAATTTTTGATGTTTTAGTCAGGGCTGAGAATCATCATTATCATCACAGTTGCTGTTTTTTCACCCAAGATCTGAAAGCATTCTACAATGACAGGTACTGTTACTTTTTTTTTTTTTTACTGTCCAGGTTAGAGAAATCAAGGAGATGAAGTGTCAGGTGACTTGCTCAAGGTCACGCAGCATAGCTGTGAATACAGATAATTCCCACGTGGCCTGTTAAAAGTGTATTACCAGAAATTCTGGCATCCTTTTTCTAACCCCACGCTTTGCCGAATGTTTATGTATGAGCTGAGGCAGCTTAAACAAGGAGCACTAGAGAACTTCTGGGTACGGATTTGTTTAGCAGAATGAGCAAGGTACAAGTGCTTAGAGGTTTTTAAGCAACTGCAGCTGAGTAACTGAAACCTTTCTGGAACTGGAGGGCTTGAGGAAAGATCAGCTATCTGCAGGCACTGCTAGTGAGTGCTCGTTGGCTTTTAAATATATGCCACAAAAACTTATACATTGGAGTTGAGGCAAAGACAGTTAGTATAAGCAATTGCAGCTGAAAGAGAAAGAAAGAATAAGGAACCTCGTGAGGCAGGTACTTTGGGTTGTTAAGTTCCTTTTGCAATATTACAGTGCCAGTGTGAAACACACAGCGAGAGCGAAAAAGCTGAAGGTAGGTTTTGCACGCACAGTGCCAAATGTGGCAGTGGCGTTACTGCGATGCTTAAAGTGGGAACGTAGCGTCAATTATCATGACTATTTAAAAAAGAAAAAAAGGGGGAGGTTGAGGGAGAGCCTGGCTCCTTGCAGCTCCATCCTCGTGGTGTTCTTCCCCAGGCTCTGCATTGACGTCACAATGACACGGTGAAGCCGAAGACAGGAGCTGGGAACCGTTCTTCTGCTTCACTTTTGATAATCGAGTGAATTTGTCGCCACTCCGTTCCTTCCAGCATGGCTAAGAGCGCAGAAGTGAAGCTGGCGATCTTTGGTCGAGCTGGCGTGGGCAAGTCAGGTACGTTTGCCATCTGATTTTTAATTCTGCTTGTCGTCAGGTAACTTTTTGCTCCCTCTGTGCAGACAAGCTCTTTGTACAAGAAGACAGCTGTGACCTTATTCTTGTCGGGGTGGTCAGGATCAGGCCAGGAGTTCTCTTTTTCATGCTTTCCACACTATTTTCTCCAGATTCTCCAGAATAAAAGTACTTCTATCGCTTTAAAAAAGCCCAACGACATCAAAAAACCCAAACTTCCCACGCCAACTCAATCCCACTTCTCATGAAGTGAGTGGCAAGACTGCTTTTTTCCACTGGAACAGAATTAATATTTAATTTGTCTCTTCATAGCTTGTGCTAGATGAAGGTATTTGTATTATGATCCCTAGCCCCTAAGATCAGATCCTCTGTTAAATATTGGATGACTTCTGTAATAGCTGTAATTCTGGCTGATTTCAGTGGGAAATTTTAGACGCGGCAACTCAAAGAATTTTTATTCTCAGTGCTCTCTTGGATTTACATATTTACCAGGAAACCAAGAAAATACGACGTGTAAAGTTTGCATTTGGAAAGATCTTTTGAGAAATAAACATAGTCTGCTGAGTTCATACGGTAGAAACACAAGGGGGAGGCATAAATGTTAAAAATCCATTTCTACAGACAGCCTTTACTTTGGTGAGACAAGGAGCATAACGCGAGGGTTGCAAGCTCTCTCGGGTCGTTCAGTGGTGTTGCATTAAGTTGACAGTTCCAGGGCCACTCTAACATGTCCCTGCCCCACAGGGACAAGCAAATAAGGAGACTGAGTCTAATCAAGCTCCTGGGCTAGTTTGGGAATTGTAAAATACTGTTTATTTTAGAGAAATCCGCACAGGAAAAGCCAGGGGGTAGGATGTGTCTGTAAGAGCATTAGGCGAGACTCTCAGCTGCTGTCAACCAGCTCTGGTTGGTTCCCCAAAGTAACTTTTAGAGTAGAAGTGCCAAGGTTCTGGCCCATAAACTGCTATTACAGTTTCGTTAACTTTGGAATGGGTTGTTTATAAAAGCATGTTTACCCTGAAGGTATTTTACCAGAACACTATCAGTGAAGTACCTCTGTCAGCCTTCAGGAAAAAAGGCGTATGTGAGGCAGAGGTTGTTAGGGATTATACCGCTTATACAAAGACTATGCAGATTAAATTCTACCTGTTTGAATAAAATACCGGAGGGAGTGCTGATAATACACTGGGATAAGTTTAAACTGTTCCTTCTCTCCTGCTGCGCTCACCCCCACCCCTCTTTTTGTATTTCACTGTCCCCTCCAAGTTTTCTGAGTAACTTCAGTGGTTCTCCTTTTGGTTTGTCTTACATTCAGTCGAGGGTTTCTGTGGTTGTCCAGTCTTTTGGCTGGATTGAAAATAATGCAAGATGATGTTGAAGTATTTGCAGGAGAATTGTAACACTAAAAGACTCCCTTCACCCCGATATTCCAAGCTATTTCAGAGCTTCTATTTAAAAAATAGACAGATTACCAGTTGAGTGCTCAGTTAAAATGCCTCACCAGTATAGGATCAACAAGAGCCTTTTTAACCTATTGTATGCTTTTTGTAGACTTCACTGTACTAGGATTTTATGGTAAAAATGTTTTCCTGTAGTCCCGGAACTGGGTGGGAGATAATTTTTAATGAAAAGCCGATAAAAACATCCTAGTCTTTCAGAGTCCTCCTCCTCTCTCTTTTCTTTTTTTCCCTTTGAGATGCAAGGAAATATTACATAAAACATGACTAAGGTCCTCTCTTTTTGGTTGTGACCACGCATGTGAATCTGTGTGGAAACGAAGGCGCAAATAAGTGGCAGCACAACAGGGTGAATTGAAGTGGGTGCTATCAGAGTGCTATCCGCCACCTCGACAGAGCAGCAGCTGTGCCTCCCAGAAGCTCCAGCTTGCTTATGAAAACTCCTCTTGTACGTTCCCATAAAAGGATCCAGTTTCAACAGCTCGGCCAGCTCCAGAGAAATAAGGTGTTGGGGGTGGAAGCCTGAAAATACCCATTTGCTGTAGCCAACAGCAGGAGCTGTGGAAGTGCTGTTACACCTTTACTAAAAGCAGGGCTGGGCACAAAGTAGTCTTTGGATAGTTGGGTTTGGCGGATAAGTGTCCTGCTAGATTAGTAGCGTCCTGCTAGATTAGTGTTGATAGTTTCCTTTTTTACTAATGTAATTCCCTATCCCTGTGACCTGCCTGTAGTACTTTGTTGAGACAGGATCCTGTGGCTGTAGGTTACTAGGGTAGGCTTGGCCAGACAGCTGAAAGATAAGCCAGACTTTAGAAGCAAGAATGCAAGGCAGAGTGCTGGAGCATGCTAGATATGTGTGATGAAAAGGAGACATTGGGCGATAAATAAGACCGCTGTAATTGCCAGAAAGTCATGCCAGAATACGGTCACTGGCTTGCTTTCTTGGCTCATCTTCATTTGCTGAGGAAGAGCCAGGCATTAGCTTCTTAATCTGTAAGTGGCTTCACCACCTGATAGCATCTGTGAAGTTACAGACAGATACTGTAATATCCTGGAGAGGCTCCTCTTCCAGTTCCTGACTGGGGCTTTGGATCAGTGAGTCAAAGCAGCTATGAAGAAAGAAGTGTTGTGCTTTGGGACGTGTGGAGAATTAAAGCTGTCCCTCATGCACCATGAAAGTCAATGGAATTGTTAACATTACTGAGAGCTGAGGAACATCCTAATCTCATCGTTTATGCTAGACGTCTGTTTAATGGGGTGCAAGATTCCTTGTTCTACTAAGTAGTCCCTTCCAATTAATCCGAGACTCTCCCAAACATGAGGTGGGAAACCAGAACACTGTTCACGAGTCAGAATAGTGGCTGCATCTCAAAAGACAGTTAAAGCCAGGGAAAACACAACTTTTCTCCCTTTTCTTGCTGCTTATCAAGTTTCCATGGTTCAAAGGTTTAAAAAACGAACAAGTGGGAATAGCAAGTCTGAGTGTCAGCTTTTTACTGTTCTCCTTCCTTGCCTTGTCTCCTTGGGTCTGCTGGAGAAGGCCAGCAAAATTGCTAATCAACTCACCTGTCCTGTTTTGGTTTTTACTTAATGTAGACCTAAACCTTTAAAACAGAAAAGGAGGAGCAAACCTCAGAAAGGGGCAATGTAAGAGTGGTCTAGTAAGGCAGTTAGCTCAGAATTACACGGAGTAGTAAATGACTGGTCAGCTCCTCTGGGCAAGCTACCTGGGCAAGGTCATCAGGTACAAGCATCCCAACCTGCTCTTGTACAGCGGACTGGATGCTCCTCTATACACCCAGTTCTTATTGTATAAAAGTTGCATAAACATTGCTTTAAACTAGCTGAAAAAAACCCGGATGATGAGCTCTGCCTGAGCCAAGGAGCACTTTGCTGCTGCCTCACTTGGGAAGAAGAGGAGATGCTCTGCGGGTGGGAAGGGACATTGCAAAGCTCTGCTATGGATAACAGGGCTGCACCTCCTAATCTGGGCTAGAGTCAAGCAGCACTGAGGGGGGGGAGAGAGCTTTTAAAGTCCTTTTCTTTATGTCCAAGAGGAGCTTGGAGGGAACAGAGAATTAAAGTTGAACTGAATTACTTAAACACTGCTGTTTAAATTGTTCTTCTGCTGAATCCTACAGCTTCATTCCTATGGTAACAAAAATTAGAATTTCCTAAATAGCTCCTTTTAAAAATACAGTAGTAGCAATTAATAAAGACTTAAGGGCCTTGTTCTTCCATGTCATCACAAGGTACAGTACGTGCCCAGAAAGCTAAAGAGGAGTGAAAACATATGAACCAGGAGGAGAAAAGCAGGGCATGTATTGGATAGCACTGCATGGCTGATGCTTTTCCAACTCATAATTCAGTTGACTATGAATGCTCGAAATACCTCTGCTTAGGAGCCTTTATATTTTGGCCAAAAAAAGAGAGGATGTCCAGCTGCAGCATGCGCTATCCAACTTGCCTTTTTGCTGTGCGTGCGCCAGGCTGAATATTCCAAGTTTCTGCATTAGTGTGCAGGGTGCGCCCAGCCACGGGCAGATGCAGTTCTCATCTGTCTGGATGGGCCGTGCAGCTGCAGCCGTGGTATGTGACACGGAAGCGTGTGTGGGTTCTGCTGGTGCTTAAGTAACAGGGAAGATATTAAAGCTCCCACAGGCTCCCTCCAGTAAGTATCTGTCTGCTTCTAGGCAGCTATGGAAATAATTTTCTTATGCAATCAGGGACGTGAGACATGGGGCTGCTGTCACTTTTTGATCCAGCAGTAGCTCAGATGCTTGTGTTTGGGCAAGAGGGTAATCGATAAAGTAGCGTCAGTAAGTATCATCCTGCAAAGAGCCTGTCCCATCTCAGAAATGAAGATCTCACCAACTTCAGTCATTTTAGTGTCACAGTTTGGGAAGTCCTGAGTAGACGTAGATTTGTATCTGTTGGCTTAAGCTCTTTTCCCCATCTAACCCAGGGTGCAGGAACATACTTAGGAGAAAGATACCTGGATTTGAAAGTTCCTACAGAAGAAATTCAAGCAACAGCCAAGCCAGAGAGGCCTACTACAAATCTGTGTTTTGTTTTCATTACTGGGGATATGTCTGAAATACACTACCAGGGATCACTTCCCAATTGCAAGGTCTGGGCATGTCGAAAATAGAACTGAATTCAGCGCCACCTCCCCTTGCCCCCTTCAAAAAAACCATACAGGTTACTGGGAAAGAAGCCCATTCCAAAGTGATTTTCTACTTCACAAATCCCTGCTCATATGTTTTTCCCCCACTAGTTTTGTTTCAGGGACTTTTCAGGAGGAAACATGAGTTATTAAGGAGCGATTAGTCATCAAGCTCGCAGGTCTGCTAGTAAGGCAGGGAAAGCTACCACAAAAGCTTCAAAGTCCGTGCTATACCAACTGATGTAACTAGGGAGGATTTCTGTCATAAAGTGCCTCTGAAATCCAGAAATGTGGGTGAAGGAGACACTGTGGATTTTCTGTTGTGATTTTGGGGTTTTTTTGACACTGATGGAGTGGAC